ACTATGTCCATAATTTCCCAAATTAGTTTGAGTAGTGTCCAATGCCTATATCAACAGGTAATCAGACTGACAGAACAGCTGTAAAACAATACAACTGGTGTTTGTATTTAAAACCTTCCCCTTTGCTTTACAGCCATTGCATTTCTATTATATTTGATTAATTATACAATTACTAAATTAATGTTTCAAAGCACAAATTGAAGCATTTTTGCTAGCTATAACTAATAGGACTGCATATACATTGGAGACATTTATACAATTAAATGTATGACCAGAGTGTAGGCCTACTATTCATTCTTCCAGAAGATTATAGGATTGGTGTGAACATTTCTGAGTTCCTACATATCCTTGAGGTGTCATATTACTTAAGTGCCCTATTTACCCCTCTGTAAATAGGGCACTTAGATTGGTTTTACTCTCAGAATCTCAAAGGCAGATGCACATAAGATTAGAATGGAAAAACACTATAAATTCCTTTTTTTTTAAGACTCCTATAAATATGAATCAATTAATAAAACTGGAGGACAACTGATGCTGTGAATGTGTTTGTTTTGCCTTTAAATTGTGTGAATAAGTCTGATTGCATGTTATTTGTAGACCATTAATATGTAATGGATGCCTTGTTTTAAGAGCAGATGCTGTTTGAACAACTGTGTGTGTGTGTGTGTGTGTGTGTGTGTGTGTGTGTGTGTGTGTGTGTGTGTGTGTGTGTGTGTGTGTGTGTGTGTGTGTGTGTGTGTGTGTGTGTGTGTGTGTGTGTGTGTGTGTGTGTGTGTGTGTGTGTGTGTGTGTATGTATGTATGTCTGTTTTCTGCTAATGTCTGTGCAGCTGTGAGTACTCTGAGTGAGTCCATTGGCATATGTGTGGGTAATGGAAAGTGTGCAACAGCAGCAGATACTTCCAGACTGATGGCCATAGAGAAAACCTCATTGGGATTGATGACCTCAGGAAGGGCGAGTGGGGGAGGATGGTGTGTGTGTGTGTGTGTGTGTGTGTGTGTGTGTGTGTGTGTGTGTGTGTGTGTGTGTGTGTGTGTGTGTGTGTGTGTGTGTGTGTGTGCGTGTGCGTGTGCGTGTGCGTGTGCGTGCCTGCGTGTGCGTGTGTGTGTGTGTGTGCGTGCCTGCGTGTGCGTGCCTGCGTGTGTATGCAGCTAATTGTAGTTCATTAACACAAACTTTCATTCATTGCATTTACATTTGACATTTTATGCTCTTATCCAGAGCGACCTAGTCCTCAAATGCAGCAACCTTCAATCTAATCAGTTCACTATGTCCTTTTTCATCTGCTGACTGCAAGGAAAGTAGAGCTTTTTCAATCTATTTCTACGCATACTTCTTCTGTACAATTATCAATATTGTAGTATTGACACTGGCCACCAACGGGACAAGCTAACACAAATTGTGGTAAGAAAGGCAATAATATTCAAACAAACACCACACACCACACTGAGCTTTTTGAGGTTTATTACTGTGCCAGTGGATCCCATATTACATAACTGTATGCCATTGTGTTGTATGGTAATGTAATCCGGAGTTCAGGCCAAACACATATTACTTCACATGATTAAAACACACATTGATGTCACCTCATACCGCCAGCATGCCAAAGTGTTTAACCTTGGGTGCACTTGTGAGACAGACTGTCTTATTTTCCCTCTACAACTTTTGAAACCCACTGAGAAATGGGCGATCAAACCGATGGATTGACCAAAATAAATTAAAGCATGAAATCCCTCTATCTTCCACAAAAGCAAATAAAAAACAGGGGCATTCGAGATGTTAGAGTAATTACTGCGATCTGCATATGAGGGTGCGCGTGCCGGACCGCCCCTGGTGCTGTTTTTATTGCGTGTGTCTGCCTTTATCAATTTCCCCATGCATGGGTAATGGAAAGTCTGGCAGGCTCGCAGCTAAAGCGCAGCAGACAATATGCAAAAAAGACGACGCTGCTTTTGAATAATAAATGATGCGCTTTTATAGCGCCTCTAAAACGCCTCTGATGCTACAATATGAAAAGGCTATGATAAGTAATAGTGCATTTAAAAAGGATCTAGTATATTTTTATTACTACGTTTAAAAAAAGCACAGAATGAGTGAGACGGGGAGGGGAAAATGGGTTGAATGAGGAGGGGTTGGAGTGAGAGAGATATCAGTATGATTGCAATAAAAGGAATGGAAGAGAAAAGCGCCAAAATTCCCTCCCAGCGAAATAACCTGCTTAATGAAAGTTTACCGTCTCTCGCTCTTTTTCTGTGCCACTCTTGTCTCCTCTTATGAAATATTAACTACATTGTTATATAAAGCTCTAAAGCTTAATGCTCTTTCATATTTTGCCATTGTTTTTCTTGTCGTTCTCTACCATATTATTTTCTGGGCTTTAATGGAGCTGCTTTTAATTTGGTTTACATTGTGCGTCATATGCGCCTTCTGCGGTGTGCAGGCAGATTGACAAATAGTCCATTTTACTCCGGGATTTGAGATCAATGGCCGAGTATACAGAATTGGCATGCTTTTTCCCAGTCCTTCAGTTTTCTTCATTTCTTCCAGTCGTTGTCAATGCACCAATAGTAGGCATAGGTCTAATTGTGATGGTGATGAGGATGGCGACTGAGTGCAATGTTTTACGTTTTTTAATAAATACAATAAACAAAAATGGGGGGTTATGCAATGTGCATTGGACACAATAAATGGAAATGATTTAAACATGCACATAAAGCAAGGGTCAGAGAGGGCTCTGGGCTGGCCATGAGGGGTTATCCATGTCCACCACTAAGCGCCATGGGATGACGTAAGTGTCCTCAGCTCAGCCACTGGCAGAGAGCAGGTCTCAGTGGAATGGGGCTTCCTAGCATCAGCACTCACTAATGGTCTATTAAAATATCAACTACTTCAAAGTAAACTGATTTTTCCTCGGTCAGCTTGAATCCCCTGAAGCTAATCAAACGCGGCGGCCAGGCCCAAGGAGCATAATCGCTTTTACGCGGCAGATTACAAGGAACCACTTAGATCCAATGTCAGCAGATCCGGTGTCCTGGCGCTCCCCATTCAGTTAACGCGTGGAGTGGAAACTCTTTTCCCCCGGTATAAATAAATGGTGTCCCCGTGCCACTCTTGACCGCCAGCACAAAGCAACCCCACAAAATCTTCAAAAACTGAACGTGAGCTCTGTTTAACATGAATTCGTATAACGAACTAATAGGCCTAATAATGGCAATATTTTCAATTCGGCAAATTGAACAAATACCAGGCCTAATTTTAGCCTATAGCCTAACCTGAAACATTGGCATAATAAACAGTTGCGATGCGTGTAATTTTCTTAATAAGCTAGTTGTTTTCACTGAATCTGAAAAAGATGCCTTTTGAAAACAAAATAAAACATGGCTTTTATGCACACAGCAGGCTAATATTTAGCATTGAAACGACCAGCCACTTCCTTGGAGTGCATGGAGTTTAGAATTTAGCAACAGCTGATCTACTAAATTACTAGACTATAGCCGATGCATAATGCATTACACAAATCTGTCTTCCAAGATCAAAGATCAAATTCGCTATTGACATGAATCGACACGTTTAAGCGAATTAAACATATATTTTTGAATTATTTTTTTAAATGATATCCCATCTTCAGACCAACAATATATGGCACGTGAGACCATCTCAGCTCGTCATCATCAAATCAATATTCTACGCTATGTATATAATTAATAACAGCCTAATAGGATAATAATAACAATAATAATAATAATAATAATAATAATAATAATAATAATATAGCCTAATGTTTTTAATAGGACAGTAAATAAAATCAGTTGATTTTCGTTGTATGAAAACCATCGAACTTCCACTCTGATTTGAATCAAGATTACCACTGCCCCGGTGAAATGTATATGGTTGTGTCCAATCAATTAATTAGTGGCTGTTTATAAGGAGTTCTGCTCCTCCCAGTTCCCCCACTTCCCACTGTGCAAAAACTGGTTGAATCAACGTTGTTTCCACATAAGTTCAACAAAAAAATGCAATGTGATGACATTGAATCAAAGTTGAAAACTGATTGGATTTGAAAAAGTTATCAATTTAAAGCTGCAATATGTAACTTTTTGGGTGACCCAACCAAATTCACATAGAAATGTGTGTTATATATCTGTCATTCTCATTGAAAGCAAGTCTAAAAAGTGGTAGATATGTTCTATGTAAACTATTTCTATGCTGCCCATTCTTGAAGTTTAATTTTTTGCATCTTTTACTTTTGGTTTTGTACACCAGCTTCAAACAGCTGAAAATACAATATTTTTGGTTATGGAAAATATATTTCACAGTGGTTTAGATGGTACAATGACTCTCTACACTATACATGCTTGTTTTGTCACATAAACTGAAATTAGGCAAACTATTAGAATTTTAGCAACCAGGAAATGGTGGAGCGATTTCTGCTTAGTCATCTTTAAGGACATTTAGTGTTTTTTTCACCCAACTTTTGACCTAAATCCAATGACATGCTGACATGTTTTGTTGATTTCAATTTGAATTGATGTTAGTTGACAACTCAACCAAATGTAAATCAAAACTAGAGGTTGAAATGTTGCCACTGATGATCAGTGGGTTGCCACTGATGTAGAAATACGCTAATTTGGAATGCATGCTAATCATTAGGCCTATCAAAGCATTGTCATGAAATCTCCGAAAGCATTCGGTTTTTCATAAGCCGTGGTTATGATAGCCTATAACAACACAACATTGGTGGTCGACTATAGGCCTACAGCCAATATATTAATGAATCCGCCACAATGAGCGCTTTTTAAGAAATGATGTCACTTTGGAATGTTCCTTCAGCTCGCATTCAATTCAGCAAATTAAAGTTAAAACTTCAACCAATGAGGTGCAGGAAAGCTACTCTAACCAATCGGAAGAGGAACAGAGGAAACACTATTGCGTGCGGGGGGTGTGGTGGGCAAAGTAGAATTGATCCGAACTGCGATTGTCCTGCACAGCGAAGTCAGTGTGCCAAACTTCAGCAAATCGCAAATGGACGGATCCGTCAATGCCGCGAATGATGGTGGAAAACTCGCTGCCATAGAAAGCCATAGAACGCAAACTATCCAAAACGAGCTTTAAAAGGGAAAGAGCTAGATGCTTAACTCAACATAACCCATTTTTACTCGTAGGCTACATCATACCGTTTGCAACATCGGCTCTGTCCGAGGACTGCGTAAAGGTGCTGGAAAGGTTCTGGGAGCGAGAATGGAGCGGGCGCCAAGCTCAAGCCCCAGCGGCGTAAGTCAGCCCCCACAACCTGCCCAGCATGAACCTATTAGTTTCGGCATTGACCAGATTCTCAGTGGTACCGACCAGGACGGTTCACAGAACACCACCCGGAGTGGTTCGGATACTGGCAACTTCACAAGTGGAGGAAGTTACCACCTCGGTAGTCCAACTGGAGCCAGTGCAGCGCCCTTCACTTCGCTTTCCGGTTCTTTCCATGGCATCGCATCATCATACGAGGAATCAAGTGCATACGGAGTGAACTTGACTTTCACCCCAGGAGGGGTGATACGCGTTCCGGCGCACAGACCGCTGGCCGCCGCAGTGCCTCCTCCTATAGCCAGCGCGGTACCCGGGCTAGGCAGCATCAGCTTCCCCTGGATGGAGAGCAGCCAAAGATTCGCAAAGGAAAGATTCGCAGGTAAACTATCTCCATTCAATGTGTAGGCTATTTTAGTCCAGGAGTGGTTTAATCTGGGACTGGGTAAACGGCCCTAAAAGCAGATTGTTGGGATGTACTGCAGTAGGCCTGATATTCACCAGCCTATTAAGAGGAATTCAAAGAGGAATTTTCGTTTCACTCATGGAGTTTAAATGGATTTGACCACGTCCACAAATAAATTATACAGGACTAGTCGAATCAATTCACCAGATTAACTTGAATTGTAGCCTAATTCTGAAAGCTTTATACTGAGGGAAAATACGGATAGAAATAAAATCAACAACAACATTGCATGCAAGCAAAATGCAAACAGATCTAAATGCAAACAGTTCAAAATAAGGAAACATTGAATTATTCATTATCCTATATTATTTCATATTTCAAAGTAAGGTTTAGCCTAACTCAAAGGAGAAAGTTTGACATAAAAAAACAACTTTAAAACATGGGGTAGAAATACTGGCCGAATTAGGTTCGTTCTCTCGAAGCGATGAATTGGGCACAACAATACTTTGCAAGTTGCACCATTACAACTATGTCAATATAACAATAAGCACACTTTTCATGTAGGTTTTACCACACAATTGAACAAGCAAATATGAACTGATCACAAATATAAAACTGCAACCCGTGTTATTCTAATAAATAAACACAGGCCTATTTCATCGGAAGACCAAAACTGTAGACTCCCATTCAAATATAATTATTTAACTTTGTATCAATTTAGAACCGTTTATGAAAATAAACACATTTTATCCAAATTTGGAATAATACTTCGATTTAGATCGATAGGAGGGGTGTGCTGTTATCGACATTTCTCAGATACATTGCACAAGTGTTTCAGACTTCTTCGTTGGCTATTAGCTACATCACTTGTCTCTAGCAACTCGACCTAATTATGTTACTACTGAAGGAACAGTTATTGCTTGGATTTTGAATCCTGTGTGTGTGTGTGTCTTGCTAAACGGGACATATTATAATGCTATGTGTATTATGATGATGATGATGATGATGATGATGATGATGATGATGATTGTTATTATTACTACAATTTGGCCTATTATTATAATCATTATTATTATAATCATTATTATAATTATTATTATTATTATTTCCACACAATATATACAGTTGTTGCAGTATTTAAAACCATAATTTGGGGTACTAGAAGGGGTAAAGCCTTACATAATGTACATTTATTTCTATTTCTATTTCTATTTCTGTTTATTCAAACTAAATGTTTACATGGAACATCTAAATGAACTAAGAGTATAAAATACTTTTAACTAAGTTATTCCTTTATTGAGAGAAATGAACGCTAAAACAGATAATTGGTCAATACTTATGGTAGGCCTACTGTTTGCCATTGTCATATTGTAATTACATTTATTGTAAATTAGACACTCCAGAAAAAAAGTAAAATAGGAGAACCTCTTCATCTGTAACGTAAAATATTTTCCCCTGTAACATTTATCAGAACCTTTGTTTTTCTTCTGGAGGGCACTATGTAAAGTGTCATTAATATTGCAGGAGGGTTATATATGATTGCCTGTCAGCGTTTTGTGACAAAAGGAAGAATCTCTCCACATCAGAAATGAATGGGGAAAAACACTCAACCTCTTTTCATGGACATCCTCAACATTATTGACTGTCAACGTATGTACATATTCTGAATATACAGCACTATTACAGCAATGTCTGCTACTACTAGACAATAACCCATAATGTAAGAGGAAATATAATACAAAGATCTGAATTTTGAGCAGTACTTTTATCAACTAACCATGGACTAAGACTGAGTTGATAATTTTGCCATGTTTCAAAATAGATAGAAATAAGTTAAACGTATGTTCAATTTGGATTTTGCGTTGATTAGAATTAGATTAGAATTATTCAATTAAATAAATCGGCCTCTAAAGACCCATAGAACACCTGTAAAACCTATTCAGCTGTACTCCAACATTCCAGTTCTATGAGAGAGAGGGGAGGGTGGTATATAGGTCAAACCAATGAGCATGTACATTTATTTTGATTATAGTATCAATTTAGAGATTTTAATGCGGACTACAATGTCCTTCAACAAATTGAACACAACATAAGAAGATCGAGTGAACCTGTGCATGACCTGCTTTTTTTGTTTGTCCAATGCCCCCACACGCATGCACACACACACACACACAGCTGCACTGACGCCATTCACAGTGACCCGGCGGATTGGTCACCCCTACCAGAACCGCACCCCTCCGAAGAGGAAGAAGCCACGGACGTCTTTCTCCCGGGTGCAGATTTGTGAGCTGGAGAAACGCTTTCACAGACAGAAGTACCTGGCCAGCGCTGAGCGGGCCGCTCTTGCCAAGACCCTCAAGATGACCGATGCACAGGTCAAGACCTGGTTCCAGAACCGCAGGACCAAGTGGAGGTGAGACGCTGGGCTGGAGAGGGGGAGGAGGGGAAAGAGATGAGGATGAGTTGTTGTCTGAGTGGTTTCTCTGGAGAAAGACGAGGATCTAGTCTGCGTTTTCTCTAGAGTGGTCAGCAGAGAAACACATCATCAGTTACCACTTTCTGATGTCAATTTTCAATTTTAAGAATTATAGCTTGAATACAATATCCGCAGTAACTTTGAGTTCTAATACATGTTATAGAGGTGTGTTAGGTCCCTACCTAACTGTGTATCAATGCTAATGGAAACCCAATAACTCAGGTGAGCAAAACCTAACAGGCATATCAAATCAAATTTTATTGGTCACATACACGTGTTTAGCAGCTGTTATTGTGGGAGTAGCGAAATGCTTGTGTTTCTAGCTCTGACAGTGTAGTAATATCTAACAAGTAATATCTAACAATTTCACAACATATACCCAATACACACAAATCTAAGGAAAGCAATGGAATTAACAATATACACTGTACAGCTCAGCCTCACAAACCCAACCTTTTTTTACCCACCATGACCCTCTACAGCAGGGGTGGGCAAACTTTTGGGCTCAAAGGCCACATTGAGATTTCGAAATTCAACGGAGGACCGCACAGATTATTTTTTATACAGATTTGTTTGTCAAAATCAATTTGCGTGGCAGAAAAAGGGCAGTCTTTAGAAAATATATAGGTCCATTATAATTTCTACATACTTTCTATCTAGTTATAGACGTTGAAGAGTGGGCGGGAGTGTTTTTCTAACCCAACATAAAATCGTTTTTTTACTCAAACCTCCAGCGGGCCGGATTGAATGGACTTGCGGGCCAGATCCGGACCATGGGCCATAGTTTGCCCACTCCGCTCTGCAGTCAGAACACAAGTCTAGGGACAGTCCATGGATTATGCTTTTCCTAACACCGTTCACTCAGCTCTATAGAGTGTCATTAATATTGGACTAAGTGTTTGGATCAAAGATTTTGTGACATATGGAAAATATGTCTTGACAGTTTTGGAGATAAAACATTCAGATGTAATAGCTTAACCTATAAAATATGAAGTGGATCACTTGCACACCCACACAGTCAAATGTAATGTAGGCAACACAATAAATTGTGATGTTATATCACGAAGGAGCATTTTTGGAGCATAGCAATAAACCTGAATACAATAAACAGTGTTAAGAGAGTTAGTTTGAAAGAGCTAGCTTTATGAGTATTGCAAAGGTATGGCTCTAGTGTCGTCTGTGTTAGATTGGTTCAGTATTAAGATATGCCTACTGAAGAAGGCTTGCCATTTGACTCATAACAAAAATTAAATAGCGTGTCTTATGTAGGACTAGGCTAAATCTACGTGAGCTATGTCGACACATATATGTATTTGACAAAGAAAACCATAAGTTATATAGCCAACAACTGTACAACTAGCCTACTATATGGTAATATCAGTTGTGTACCGCAGTTTCCGCAAGGTCTGAGCAAATGGGGGGCCAGCTACCTTTCCACAATTCTACACATTTTGCTATGGGGCAAACAGAAAAATGTGTCTTCTAGCTAATCTCATGTTATTTTACACATTTTGCCAAGAGGCTGAGAGAAAATGCTGCAGTTTTAAAGAGAATTTCCTGCAATTCTACACATATTGCCATGGAACAGAGAGAAAAATATGCAGTTTTATAGCTAATCTCATGCTATTCTACACATTTTGCAATGAGGCTGAGATGTTTTTGTATTTTTAAAGGGGGAAATGGGGGGGGGGGGGGGGGGGGGGGGGGGGGTTATGCCAGTGGGTAAAATCATTATGAAACGTAGCCTATCCTAACCCACTGTATAGGCTAAGTATCTCCACCCCAGAGCCCGTGGGCTGTTGCGCTCACAGTAGCTTGGGCCTACACACTGTCTAAAAAAGATGTCAGGCTCAGCGCAAATTTATCAAACATGAATACATGCAACATTGTAGCCTATTATGTGTAGCTCAGTTGGTAGAGCATGGCACTTGCAACGCCAGGGTTGTGGGTTTGATTCCCACGGGGGGCCAGTATGAAAAAAAAATTATGCACTCACTAAGTGTAAGTTGCTCTGGATAAGAGCATCTGCTAAATGACTAAAATGTAAATGTAAAATGTATTATGAAACAATTTGCCGCAAGATTAATGCCACTGAAATACACTGAACTTTATTATATTTCCAGAAAAATAAACGTACGTGATGATACTGTCGCCTAGTCTAGCTACTGCGCAGGTTGCCGCTGGAAAAGGTCAAACAATGAATAATAAATTACCTATTTAATATGTTTGCAAATAATCAATATGTTACTATTTTTATAACCAATAATAATAATATTTTTTATAGTGCTTTCTGCAAAATATAAAATATACACAGAAGGTTCTGTTATCTACATTATCTGCAAGACTATCTGCAAGAGTTGCTCCATCTTGAGTGCAATAATGTGCAATCATGTTCTGTTTGGCAACATTGGTTAGTGTCCTCTCTGGTTTCACCCATGTGTCATTATGGCTCATGTCAGTGTGGTATCTCTCCTGCTCTACTGTTTCAACCATGTGATAGCTGCAGACAGGTGGTTGTCATCAGTGTCCCTGTTCTAATGTTGGCCTCGATGTCTCTGGGTGCATCACATTTTCTCTCTGTGTAACCATATCCTCTAACAGTGAATCTTAATAAGTGTCCTGTCTACGTCTGTCCTGTCCCTGTCCTCTCCCTACCTGCCCTGTCTTCGTTGCCAGGCGACAGACAGCTGAGGAGAGGGAGGCGGAGCGTCAGCAGGCCAATCGGCTGATGATCCAGCTGCAGCATGATGCCTTCCAGAAGTCCTTGAGTGACTCGGTTCCGTCCGATCCACTCTGCATCCACAACTCCTCCCTGTTCGCCCTGCAGAACCTGCAGCCGTGGGCTTCTGAGGAAGCAGCAAAGATGGGCCGTGTCACCGCTCTAGTGTGACAAGGACAGGGTGGGGCCCTCTGGACATTACACACTCGGACTGGCCAAAATGCTTACTGACTGATATCTAAGAAACTGCACAAAGGTGATCAGTGAGCAAATTGAATTGAATGATTTATTATTGTCCTTCCAGAACATAGCCAAAGTGTGTCTGAGGGAGTCTGAGGATGCAACAAAAACTCCAGTTCCTAAGTACCCTGATATGATCTGGACATGCAGACTGTTTGGTGGGCCCTTTGTGTCAGATACATCCTGGGTGGTAGCCTATTACCTGTGGTGATGTACGTGACATGTCACTGAGCCAGCCCCATAATTCCAAACGGACATATTGACTGACTGACACAGCACAGATTGGCTAATTTGTTCCTCCCACGTCCCATCTGTTCCTTCACCACTACAGTTACACTATCAGCTCTGTGCCCCTGCATCTCAGAGCCGACCAGTCTGCAAAGGATGAGAAAATGGATGGGAAACGGGGAGAGAGAGAGAGAGAGAGAGAATACACTAATGTTCTGAGAATATATAAACCTTTGTTGTTGCATGGAATCAATCTCATCATCCTCTAATTTTCCATCTTGAATTACATCCAACTGTTTCCTCTTTAGACTGCTAGTTAGCAGGATTTTTGTATTGGGTGGAGACGGACTTAGGCAACACTGATCCTTGAAAGCCACTGAATGTATTACATGCTTTGATTCCAATCTATTCACACTCTAAAGCTCAATTAGGGGGCATAATTACATTTGAATAAGAAGGCAAACTATAAAACCAGATATCCACAAGTGAGATATTGTAGGGTCAACTGCTTATTGTTCTATTGGGCTAGTGTTTGGTGATGTCTGGACAAACCAGATAACTGCTACCTCTTTAAACAGGATCCACCCGGAACACTAGCAAGACATATACTTTGTTTTTATAATTCATTGAAGGGTTAATACACAGCTCAAGGGCTATTTTAAAATAACATTTGCCAGTGGGACAAGAAGCAATCCAGTAAAAGAGGAAGCAAATTATTTATAGTGTTGTTTTATTCATGCCAGGCTGGACCCATTCACTGGGAAGAGTAGTGCATGAGGGTGGCATACCAGACCTGAGAGGTGGAGAGTCTGGTTGACTTGTGGTGTAAAGGACTTGTCTTATGAGTCATCTGAGAATATTTGACGCAGTGTAATAGATGGATGATAACAGGATCTCTCCCTATGTATCATACTTTGTATTTGATAAATATGTAAATAACTAAACAAAACCTAATAATAAAAAATAATTATCTTGTTTTAGCTTTGAATCACTCTTTATTTTCCAGTACCCTTCTATTGGTCTCCATAGCTACTTTGTTTACATATACAGTGAAATATCTGCAGAACATGCTCATTACATTCAAATAAAATGCAAACCAAACGGCACCATAAAGATCGAAACCACTAACGTTCTCTCGCACACAAACACATTGACCAGGGCGGATTTTGCCTACGACAGATCAAAGGCACTTACAGGGGGTGAGAGGAGATCCACAGAGACCATAAAAAGGCTTTCCCCATTAAATCCCCCCTCACTGAGTGCTGTTGACTCACATTCAGCTGACCTGTGGGGAGATGGATAGGTCTCAGTGTTGTGTCCATTATGAATGTGGTAAAAAAAAGGGACATAACAAAAGGTATCTCAGCATCCCCATATAAAGCTGCAGAATCACCAATAGCTCTTTAGGTAGTAGGCCTATTCATATCCATACACACTAGAGCTGAGCAGACGTGATGGTGCAACAGGACTAACCCTCTTCCTGATAGTCTGAGAGGCCATTAGGGAGAGCAGCCATTAATAAAGCCTCTCTGCTCAGGCTAATTGATACAGGAAGTCTCCTGACCTCCTGGACCCGCTCCAGGTCTTGGGGGAGGATGAGATGAGATCACCCCTCAGGGATGCAACACAACCAAGGCTGTCAGCACAGGGCTTACTTATACACCAGCCCCCTCTGCTGGCCAGAGTCTATACTGACTCAAAGGGGAATGAGATTCTGTGACATTCCAAACCTACTGACTGTGAGTCTGTCAACCTTATTTGGGACCAAAGTAATATAGAAGATGCATAGTAGTAGTTGGGTTACTGGCTGGTGTCTTGTATTTGTCAGAGCGAAGTGGTGGAGAATGGGTTTACCTGTCAGACTTTGAACAGGGCTGAAATCATACCTCAGTGTTATTCCAGTTATTTTTATGTCCTTCAGACATTGTGTAAATGTTGATAAAACATGTAACAGTTGAATAGCATACATCTGTGTCAAGCATAACACATCAACCCTGTTACCCATAGATCGGTTAGAAATGTTTTAAAAGTTCCAATATTGTCATGCTTGCATTCAATTTCCCCTTCCTGTTACACACAAGCTTCCATTATTTGCAGCTGTAGTCATGTCTGCATCATTGAGTTGTCAACAATGGACAGGCCTGCCCAAGGAAGGAATAACAGCGCCATCTCGTAGAGTTTAAGGTGGTGGGCCAACAGCTAAGCAGATGTCTGCCAGACATCTAGGTTTATTTTCATGTTTGAGCCTATTATCAGAGTAGGCCGGTAGTTTACCCTCAAAATACCGTATTTCATAATTTCACCTTTTTTGTAATATTGCAATTCAGACTTCGGTGTCTGTATTATGGGATTAAATGGGAACGCATTGCAAATGGCATGACATTAATCCTTACTTATTGACAGTAGAAGCTTTCATCAAAGGCTTCACACTGAAATTGTTCCATCTAGTCAACCATCAATAACACGAAGCAAAAGTAAATCTCCTCCAGAACTTTTATTGTGGATCACAATATTTCTGTGGATGGAGAACTGCTCATATACTTTATGTATTACAATTCAACAGATCAGAAATTACAAGTTCACAAAGCAGGTATGATACAAATAGGAATATGTTACTTTCAAATGACATTCATGTCACCGGTGAATTAGCTGCTTTACTCTACCCTTACTGCAAAAAATATAAACTTGTGAGAATTACTTAAAACCTTTGAACAGTTAAATGAATAAAATGCTTGGCCAAATGTTAATGTCGCAGACCTTTAGGAGCCTACCCTCTGGAAGGGAAGGACAAGTATCCCCAAACTCAACACCTTACGGATGACATGGAACGGTCGTCATTTCACTTTACCCATCTTTTAAAGAATTCAAAAGGAACATATATCTTCCAAAATGCCAGAGGAACAGTTCTCGGACACCAACTGACCAGACTTCAAAATGCTACGTACAACACCGTAGCAAGGATTTCATTTACAAAATGCAAAGTTCCAAGTGGGTTTTCCCAGGTCCATCCACATGAAAGCTGGAATAGTATCACCCTTCCCGTCCTCTTTGAGAGGGTGAGGATTCTGGAAGGGCCAGGGATGATGGGGCTGAGTCCTATTAGCTCCACACTAGTCTGTGTGCCACAGCAGGGCACTGGACAGGCTAAATGCTGCAGCAGTTTAGAGTAACAGCGCACAAGGCATCGATTCAGACATGGGAAGGGTCAGGAGAGGGCAGAGTAGGAAAGTGTTTGGGGGGTGGGGGGGAATGGGTGAGATGGCAAAAGTAATCCCCCCCAAAAAAGGTTAAACAAAAAAAGTTATTTGCTGTCTTCCACAGTTTGTCTCCACTTCCACAGTTCCTCTATGGTCTGAAAAAGATTGGGGAAAACATTTACTAAAGTATAATCACAATTGTGTAATTGTCAGAAAACATGTCATTAGTGAGCTCAGAACTTCTTAGAGGTATTGGTGTGTTTTTCTCATTGCTGATCAAAACCAAATTAGTCTTCATTGCTCTTCACGGATGCTTTGATTCGCTGACAGCACTATGGTTGTCACTTTCCCAAACATTCAATTGAATCTGTGTTCTTGACAAATGTCATGATGTCCCCTGAGCAGCATTAACACACCTTGGTTTCTGTGACTCTGTAGCTGTTCTTCACAAAGCTCTCAAACTTGGGCTGGAGTTTAGGCAACTTCACTCCCTGAAATAGCAAGACTTGACATTAGTATAGGTATTCAGATGTGTCCCTATACCACTTCATACACTTGGGTTAGGCCAGTCTTTCGGGTTAACAGTTCTTTAGCAAACATCAGATAAAATCAACTCATCATGACATTTCTCATAATCCAACAACCTTCTCCACAGTCGCCATCATCTTGGCCTTGAGCTCAGGGACGGTGAGGATTGGTTTGGGGGTCAGGGGAGTTTTGGGTGTTGCTTTGGGGGTCTGTCCATTTTTAGGAGTCTGTCCACCCTTGCCGCCAGGGGTCTTTGCCTGTGAAAATCAGACAAATTGTTAGACAAGACATGTAACATGACATACATAGATCACTACATTAATGCTCTCAGAAATGTTAAGTGGCCATCTTTAGTCTCAGTCTTTTGGTAAGCAGTGTTGAAAATGCGTCAGTAGATCATCAGCTCAACAAATATCATCTTCAACTAGACGCCATGTGATAGTAGGGCAGAAGATGCGTAAGAGGACTAACCTGTTTTCCGGCTGGTGTGTTACCTTTAGGGCCCTTTCCATTGTGGGCAGGAGTTTGAGGTTTGGACGGAATCTTCTTAGCCTGAGAAAAACAGAGGTTTCATGTGACATTTTCTTCGCTTTCAAGGGTAGAATGAGTATAGGCTTAAATAAAACACACTCACCTTAACAGGAGATTCTTCAGCCTCACTCTCCTCTTCATCCTCATCCCTAAAGAGGTGTCACATGTTACAACTCAACTTTTTTATAAAACCTCAGCGAGGAGCTAAGTCAAACATTACACTTACTCATCGTCATCATCCTCGTCATCAACATCCATCTTCATCTTTTTCTGTGAAGGGTGAAAGGGAAGGACATGGAAGTGAGGATGTGTGTAGCAAGAGCAAAGACTGGAGAACATTCTCTAAGAAATGGGAGTGGCCGACTACAGTCTCAGTCTTTTGGTAAGCAGTGTTGAAAATCCTTCAGTAAATCATCAGCTCAACAAATATCATCTTTGACTACAGAGGCCAACGCGATAGTAATGCAGCAGATATGTACATTGTGACAACAGCGACTTTCCAGCCAGTAGTCGGGACTAACCTGAGATTTAAGTGCCGGTGCTGATGCGGGCCTTTTCTTGGACGTTTGTACCTCTTCTTCATCTTCCTCTTCATCATCTTCATCAAAAGACTGGTCTCCTCCCATCACTGGTGGAATAACAATTTATGTTAACTTTGAGTATATAGGATACGGCATCCTCAAAAAGGCTAAAATCACTCAGAAAAGTCAATGGCCATCTTCAGTCTCAGTCTTTTGGTAAGCAGTGTTGAAAAAGCTTCAGTAAATCAGCTCAACAAATATCATCTTCGACAACAGATGCCATGGCAACACTGTCCTAGGATAAAGTTATACTCACTGACAAGGTGCTGGCCACTGATGTGGATTGGCCCGGAACCAGCCTTGAGACGGAAAACTGCTGGGGGTGTGATTGCGAATCCACCAAGACACACCTGCAGCACACAATTAACTCTTTACTTAACATGAACTCTACACAGGCCATACAACCACAATCTCCCACTCAGGGATGGCACAGAAGTATTGATGATACTCTGACTACTCACACTTGGCAGGGTGGACGGTTTGAGTGAAGCCAGCACAGCCTTAACCTTCTGACCCTCCGTGTCCTGTCCTTCCACCTCCACGATGTGCAGCTCATCCTTGGTGCTGAGGTCCACACACAGCTAAGAGCAATCAACAAGAGACACCAAGTTCAGAAATACTTTAACATACCTAGGAGGAAAAATGGATAACCAGAAAGAAATTAATATTTTATTCCATAGAAAGGAGATATCAGTAACCCTCACCATCCTTAAGTCCAGCTGGTGCTCAAAGTCATCTTCTTCTGGGTTGAAGACTACATCCTTCCCAGATTTCAACTCGCACCCTGTTGAGAAAAAGGGTATATTACATAAGAGAAAATGCATTGCTATCAACAAAAGGATCCTACGTTGGGGTGCGCAACACATACTTGTGGGATGCCATAGTGTAGTTTCAGGCTTTTCTAGACAGTTAAATAGCTGACAAAAAAAAGACTCAGTTGAAGACTGATATGTTTAAATCAGTTTGGTTTCTGCTTTGGCTGAGAAACAAGCCTGCATCCAAACCGGTCCTGTGCAAATAAGGTTGCCTACCCTGGACATCTCCTTAAAAGGTCGACTGAGGTGAGGCAAACATGTGGGTCACCAACCCACGTGGTTGAAAGAACACTGCACCCTGACCATGTTGTCAATGAAACTAGCTAGCCAACTAATTTAGGTAGGTAGACAGGCTATTAACCAACATAATAATTTGGGTCGCTGAACTACACAATTTATAAAGACATCACATGCCACATTTTATTTCAAATGTGTTTGTCCAATCAATTTTAATCTGAAACAGTTAACCCCAAATCACTGACAAAGCATGTCATCATCAATGCACTTCATATACTACTTTCATAAAGTGGAATAATTATAGATAAACATAACTTTAGCCAACACTAGTAATTTGGGCAATGTTCACAAAATCGGTTTGCGCTGCAAGGACATTTTCTAGAGGGCCTTGTGCGCCATCTTTAAATAAAGCACGTGTTGAACAATTTTATACGCATGGAGTGGTACCTAGCCAGTGAGAAGCTAGTGTAATTTGGGCAATGTTCACAAAAATCGTGTTGTGCTGCATTGACATTTTCTAGAAGGCCTTGTGCGCCATCTTTAAATAAAGCACGTGTTGAGCAATTTGACACGCATGGAGGGGTACCTAGCCAGTGAGAAGCTAATGTCCATCAGTCTGGCTCAGTTAACGTTACAACAAATACAAAATCGACCAGGTCACCGAGACCTTCAAAACATAACTCACCAAATGTGGTCTCAATATGCTTGTCTAACTAGCTAGGATGGCTAGCTAACTAAAATTAGCTCACCTATGCTAACTACCGGCTAGGTGGCTAACGTTAGCTAAGTTGATATCTCGTGGCTAAACTTGGGTAAGTCCTTTCCATTCCCAAATAGTGTTATGTAACGGTATTTAGACCATAAGTTGTTGAAACTCCGACATGCTCCCATTACCACTAGTTGTAGCTCTAAAGTTAGCTAATTGTGCTAACATTAGCTGGCTGTACCTCGTGTGTCTGGGGAACAATTTTTTCCCCCTTTTATCTACAATAGCTAGCTTGCTGATCTATTTATTACATTCAAGTTATTCCGGAAAAAAAAAAAACGAATTATGTTACTTCAAATAGAGAGTATCTCACCATAGAGAAAGGTCTGTGGTCCCATTTGTTCCTCGTCCAGCCCGTTCATTTTTCTTTGCCGAGACAACGCTCTTCGAAGATAATGAAAAACTAAAAGGCCCTCTCACTACAGTACGCAGACACACTACCCGTGCTCAATGGCCACGCCTTCTTTCTTCTTCTTCTATTGTATTTTGGCATTCCGCAAACACACATTAGAGGTGCATTCCGCCCCCTACTACGTGGGGTGAAAACTGGGAAACTTCAACACAGAAAGAACACGTGGACATAGGGAAAGTGTGGGGAAAAAAACACTAATATTATTCCCCCAAAATGTACAAAACAAAAATATATGCACTCCTTTAGTCCGATTCAAATGTCTACTCAGATCCCTACAGGCTCTGGGGCCTGAAATGGAAGAGCATCTTCAGACAGTATTCCCATGCAATGTTTCTGCTGTGAAGCCCTGGAGATCCAAAAACCTTTTAGCCACATTCACAATTATGTCCAGTTTCTTTGATTTCTTGTTTGGCTTGTACCGTTCATCACCTGCACCTTAACTCAACAGAATCTATGGAGTTAGATTTGTTTCTTTATTCAGTAAGTGTGTCTACCACGATCAGTGCGTATATTAAACATAATTCACAAATAAAGCTATGATCTGTGAATATATACAAATATTTCGTAAATAAAACCATAATTCGTGAATATGTACAAATATTTCACAAATTAAACCATTATCTGTGAATATGTAAAAGAAAATTCACATACCTCACAAATAAAACTACAATTTGAACTAATGTAGAATAATGTGACCAAATGTTCAGAAATCCCTAACATTTACAACTGTGGAATGTGCATTTGCACGTTCAAAAAGTGCTTGTTGATCTGTATTCAGTGCTTACAGAATAAAAAATATCATCATTCGCTATCAGGTGCACTTCATAGTTCCAGGTAGTTATCCATTATGGAGACAGGGATTGTGTCAAAGAGTGTATGGTTTATATTTGTAACCGGTACAGAGTACAGAGTCAATGTGCGGGGGCACTGGTTAGTCGGGGTAATTGAGGTAATATGTACATGTATTTATAGTTAAAGTGACTATGCATAGATAATAAACAGAGAGTAGCAGCAGCGTAAAAGAGGGGGTGGGGTGGGCGGGACAATGCAAATAGTCCGGGTAGCCATTTGATTAGCTGTTCAGGAGTCTTATGGCTTGGGGGTAGAAGCTGTTAAGAAGCCTTTTGGACCTAGACTTGGCGTTCCGATACCGCTTGCCATGCGGTAGCAGAGAGAACAGTGTATGATTAGGGTGGCTGGAGTCTTTAACAATTTTTAGGGCCTTCCTCTGACACCGCCTGGTATAGAGGTCCTGGATGGCAGGAAGCTTGGCTCCAGTGATGTACTGGCCATACGCACTACCCTCTGTAGTATCTTGCGGTCAGAGGCAGAGCAGTTTCCATACCAGGAAGTGATGCAACCAGTCAGAATGCTCTTGATGGTGCAGCTGTATAACTTTTTGAGGATCTGAGGACCCATGCCAAATCTTGAGGGGGAATAGGCTTTGTCGTGCCCTCTTCACGACTGTCTTGGTGTGTTTGGACCATGATAGTTTGTTGGTGATGTGGACACCAAGGAACTTGAAGCTCTCAACCTGCTCCACTGCAGCCCCGTCGATGAGAATGGGGGCGTGCTCAGTCCTTATGATCCTGTAGTCCAAAATCATCTCCTATCCCACGTTGAGGGATAGGTTGTTATCCTGGCACCACACGGCCAGGTCTCTGGCTTCCTCCCTATAGGCTGTCTCATCGTTGTCGGTGATCAGGCCTACCATTGTTGTGTCGTCGGCAAACTTAATGATGGTGTTGGAGTCGTGCCTGGCCATGCAATCATGGGTGAACAGGGAGTACAGGAGGGGACTGAGAACGCACCCCTGAGGGGCCCCCGTGTTGAGGATCAGCGTGGCAGATGTGTTGTTACCTACCCTTACCACCTGGGGGCGGCCCGTCAGGAAGTCCAGGATCCCATTGCAGAGGGAGGTGTTTAGTCCCAGGGTCCTTATCTTAGTGATGAGCTTTGAGGGCACTATGGTGTTGAACGCTGAACTGTAGTCAATGAATCACATTCTCACATAGGTGTTCCTTTTGTTCCAGGTGGGAAAGGGCAGTGTGGAGCGCAATAGAGATTGCATCATATGTGGATATGTTGGGGCGGTATGCAAATTGTAGTGGGTCTAGGGTTTCTGGGATAATGGTGTTGATGTGAGCCATGACCAGCCTTTCAAAGCACTTCATGGCTACAGACGTGAGTGCTACGGGTCTGTAGCCATTTAAGCAGGTTACCATACTGTTCTTGAGCACGGGGACTATGGTGGTCTGCTTGAAACATGTTGGTATTACAGAGTCAGTCAGGAATCAGTAAGGAACAGGTTGAAAATGTCAGTGAAGACACTTGCAAGTTGGTCAGCACATGCTCAGAGTACACGTCCTGGTAATCTCTCTGGCCCTGCGGCCTTGTGAATGTTGACCTGTTTAAAGGTCTTACTCACATCGGCTACGGAGAGTGTGATCACACAGTCGTCCGGAACAGCTGATGCTCTCATGCATGCTTCAGTGTTGCTTGACTCGAAGCGATCATAGAAGTGATTTAGCTCATCTGGTAGGTTGGTGTCACTGGGCAGCTCGCGGCTGTGCTTCCCTTTGTAGTCTGTAATAGTTTGCAAGCCCTGCCACATCCAATGAGCGTCAGAGCCGGTGTAGTAAGATTCAATCTTAGGCCTGTATTGACGCTTTGCCTGTTTGATGGTTCGCCGGAGGGCATAGCGGGATTTCTTAGAAGCGTCTGGGTTAGTGTCTCGCTCCTTAAATGTGGCAGCTCTACCCTTTAGCTCAGTGTGGATGTTGCCTGTAATCCATGGCTTCTGGTTGGGGTATGTATGGTTACTGTGGGGACGACGTCATCGATGCACTTATTGATGAAGCCAGTGACTGATGTGGTGTACTCCTTATTGCCATCGGAAGAATCCCAGAACATATTCCAGTCTGTGCTATCAAAACAATCCTGTAGCTTAGCATCTGCGTCATCTGACCACTTCTTTTTTGACCGAGTCACTGGTGCTTCCTGCTTTAGTTTTTGCTTATAAGCAGGAATCAGGAGGATAGAGTTATGGTCAGATTTGCCAAATGGAGGGCGAGGGAGAGCTTTGTATGCATCTCTGTGTGTGGAGTAAAGGTGGTCTAGAGTTTTTTTCCCCTCTAGTTACACATTTAACATGCTGGTAGAAATTAGGTAGAACGGATTTAAGTTTCCCTGCATTAAAGTCCCCGGCCACTAGGAGCGCTGCGTCTGGATGACGTTTTCCTGTTCACTTGTGGCCTTATACAGCTCATTCAGTGCAATCTTAATGCCAGCATTGGTTTGTGGTGGTAAATAGACAGCTATGAAAAATATAGATGAAAACTCTCTTGGTAAATAGTGTGGTCTACAGCTTATCATAAGATACTCTACCTCAGGCGAGCAAAACCTAGAGACTTCCTTAGTATTTGATTTTGTGCACCAGCTGTTGTTTACAAATATACACAGACCGCCACCCCTTGTCTTACCGGAGTCAGCCGTTCTATCCTGCCGATGTAGCGTATAGCCCGCTAGCTGTATGTTGTCCATGTTGTCGTTCAGCCACGACTCGGTGAAACATAAGATATTACAGTTGGTAGGATAACCGTAATCTTAGGTCATCCAATTTATTCTCAAATGATTGAAGATTGGCTAATATGATTGATGGGAGAGGCAGTTTACTCGCTCGCCGTCGGATCCTTACAAGGCACCCCGACCTACGTCCACGATATCTCTGTCTCTTTCTCATGCGAATGACGGGGATTTGGGCCTTGTCGGGTGTCTGTAGGATATCCTTCGCAGCCGCCTCGTTGAAGAAAAAATCTTCGTCCAATACGAGGTGAGTAATCGCTGTCCTGATATCCAGAAGCTCTTTTTGGTTATAAGAGACGATGGCAGAAACATTATGTACAAAATAAATTACAAATAACGCGGAAAAACACACATAATAGTACAATTGGTTAGAGGGCTGTAAAACGGCAGCCATCTTCTCCGGCGCCAATTCGCTCCTTTGTCATTTCAATGGCATAGAGTGAAATCTGGGTTTATGAGTGTAATTCAACTGATGGTATGTGTTGCTTAGACAGAGACGACAAAAGTATTTGGTTTGGTGATGTAGAATGGAAGGCTTGTAGCGTGTTTTGGTCCAAATAGAAAGACTCACTTATTTAGCAGGTATAGAGACGATTGCGTGGTAGTCATTTTTTTTTGGCGTTGCCTAAGGGTTTGCTAAATTAAACGATTGAGAATGGTGCCGGTATGTCTATCAATAAATGGGATATTGATCCTATGTATATAAATTCAATATATGATGGTAAACTACAGCAAGTGTTTGTGTTTGGTGTTACTTGTAGCCTACTTAGAAAGAACAGTTACCTACATCTGCTGTATTCTAATAATGGCGGATTGGTGGTTTCATATGAGCTGTGTGTCACGGTTTCGGCCGAGGCTGCCTCTCTTCCTTGTTCGGGCAGGCTTCGGCGTTCGTTGTCTCCGGAATACTAGCTGCCACCGTTGCATGTTTCTATGTTCGTTTGCTTTTGTCTGTTTGTTGTGACACCTGTTCTCGTTTAGTGTAATTAGTGTCCTATAAGTTTCTCGTTGTGTTTGTCTAGTGTTGTGTGTGATTGATTTTCTGTCGTGTGTTGTGCTTGTATAATATATTACTTATTAGCTCGGTTGAGCTTTACTCCACTGTGTTGGAGCGTTTACGCACATGGTTTGTGCGCCTTTTGGTTTTTGTCGCCTTCGTGCGTAGTTTCGCCTTCGGGCCAGTGTGTTCGATTTTTCCCTTGTTGGGAATTGCACTAAAGTCTTTTGGACTATACTTCGGTGTCCTGCGCTTGATTCCACCACTACACCCACCTACAGCATTCCTGACACTGTGGCTATGATCTTAGTTGATTACAGGGGAAATAGAATGTAGTTTAGGACGCACAGAGAAGCGAATGTCTTATCTTCATGGGAAGTGAAGCAAGGGAATTCTGAGAATAAAAGGAAATATAACATTGACTGAGGACTATGGCAACTTTTGGTTGAGGTCACTACAGAAGTATTATGGACATACTATCGTAATAGATAAACTGAACCAAACATGACGTTACTACAG